AGGAAAGCTTGCACCCATAGCACCTTTCCATCACATTGTGCCATCATATTTTCTAGCCTGCCTGTTATACAGAAAAGGAGACCTGACAGTTTAATATGTTGCTTCAAAGCAAGGGCTGATACACCATGTCACTGCTAAGCCCAGATGTGCCACACACTCATTGCTGGGAGGAAGAAAAAACAGGGGAAAAAAAAAGCCCAAACAATTTTATAAATGTTCTGTAGGGAGTCTGAATGTCTTTTTAATTTGGTCTATATTTTTTTAACACCACCCTTTAGGGAGGCATGTGCAGTGATCATTATCAGCTCATCCATACACAAAGCACACAAAGGTATAGTCCCCCATAAGTGTTGACCTTAAATTGTCTTTCTCTACATAGAAATGTCATGATCTTCATGAAGCAAACATTTCTGCTTATTTATGTAAATAAAAAACATGGCCTAACACACAAATATACAGCAAAAATGTACTAATATTAGACATAATCTTGTAAGAAATTGCTGAAGCATATGCTAAAATTAATTCATCACCCCCCCAGCTTATCACAAACCTATGACTACTTCATTTGCACTCTGCTTAATGGTCCATCTTTCTCAGGACAACATATGTTACAAATCTCTGTAATTTCATGCTCTTACCTTGCAGACCATGCTTAAAGAAAAGGAAAAAAATAAGAAAAAAGAAGCATTTTCTCCTTTCTTTTAAATGTAGCTCTTGTCTAAATGCTCGGACAGGCACTGTCAGCTCTGAAAATTCAAGATTAATCAAGCAATTAAGAATTGGTATCTAGTGACTTATCATGACTGGAAATGGGAGATGCTGCATTCCTTTTAGCTCTGCAAGAACCCAAAATAGCTAACCTGATTTTTATGGACAGCAAGATCTTAAATCTTATGGGGAGAACAGTTACAATTCCTTCTATTAAAGTGGTTCCTTCAAAACCCCCATCTGCGTTCTGCACATTTTATAGCAAAGGGCCAGCCTGTACAGAGGGCCATGCTGAAGAGCTGCATACTTCAGATTCACACCCTGCCTTTACCTGAATGAGTCTGAAAGTGTAAAGAAATCCCAAGAGAGCCAAGATGAAGTTTTGCTTTCTCTCCCCCATGTGCCAGCACAGGATTGCACTGCACTGCTTGAATAAACAACCGAAATGAGCAGGAATTACATCACTTCAAAACTGTGGTTTCCTTTAAACATTAAAAAGAATGGCAAGCATTTCCATTCACATAACTATCAGCATTATCACCTCTTCTCACACCTCCTTCTCCAGCATCTAATTGTTGTGATGGTAGGGACTTCCCTGCCTCCTTCCTTGGGAGTGGAGAGAGCCTTTGCAACTCAGCTCCAGTCATTTGCTTTCCTCTCCATGAGCTCAGGAACTCCTTCAGCAATCAGAAAGACTTCATGGGTTGGATGAGCACATTCACTCATCACATTCCCTCTGTAAACATTTATTTGGAGCATACATATTTGGACTTTCCGTGGTAATTTGGATCTGATGAGCTTTCCTTATTGTCAAAATGATGGATGCCTCTGTAAAAGAGAGGAGTAACTTCTTCTGCAGCTTTGCTACCTCAGCTAGGCAGATGCAGGTCTGAGAAATCAAAAATGAAAAGCAAAGTGCAGCACAACCCAGTGCTGGTGACTCAGGAAGAAACTTCATTTTCCCCTAAACTATAAGTAGCTCAGTAGCTCTTACTTACCCAGTTACTGGCTTCTTCCTGGACAACCTGATAGAATTAAGAACACACAAACCTGAATTCTGCTCCAAACTTCACCTCTGATGCTCTGTAGTCTTGGAAAAGTCATTTAAGCTCCTGAGTCTCCATTTTTTCCATGCATGAAGCTGAAATGACATACTGAGCCTTGCAAGAACTTCTGAAACCTCTGATGTTAATAGTACTTGTCAGTGCCAAAAGCACCATTATGGGCATTACAGCACTAATTCTCTCACAAGAGAGGGAAGCCCACTGTGTCACAGGTATTTTGGATACAATTATTACCCCTGGAAGTGCTCAGATATCATTGCACAAAATTGTAGGCAGATGAATCTTTCAGATGGGATAGAAACCAGAGGCCCTGACAGGTTATTAAAAGACATAACGTTTTGAAGAAGCCCATATGTTAGCTTTTTCATGTTCACCCTGTTCCAATTTGGATAATTACGTTCTAACTCTTTAAAGCAGGGTGGCTGACCTGCCTGGCCCTACCAGCTGTATATCCAAATCTTCATGTGGCCCAGAGTGATACAACACAACCCACATATTTCAAAAAGCTGAAGGAAAAGAGGAGCTCTAGGAGAGGTTCATCAGCTAGTGAGAAAGATTTCCTCCTGGAACAGGAGCCCTCCCCTCCTGCTGAAACAGTCCTTCCCTGAGAATCAGCTTCTCCATGTCACTTCCCACAGGAACCTGCCTGGTACTGTCAGGGCACCATCATACTTTGTCCCCCAGCAGCTGCATAGTGGCAGCTCTGTGATGCACAGATGCTGTGAACATTGAAGATCCACACCTCACAACACATTCCAGCAGTTTACAGGCCTAGTTATTAATAGTGAAGGACCTAGTGACATACTAGTTACTAATAGTGATTTGCATTTCTACTTTATCATTAAGAAAGAAAAACATTTCATCCCTCACGGTAAGTGGAGCCTGGCTTGCCCAAGAATTAAGCAAGAGAAGACACTGAAGATTCTCATTCTTCTCTTGGAGATCATTGGTGCTCTCTGAGCTGCTCCTTTTTTCTTTATGAACTCTCAATGATAATTCACTGTGCATTGCACATCTTGACCACCACAGAATCCCAAAACACAGAAAGAGCAATATCTGACCCTTCATCAGTTTCCTGACATAGTGAAGAAGAGAAGCAGCATATGGTGCAAATGATTTTTTTTCACCACAGACACACAGTAAATTTTCCCAAACCCAAGATAAGATGCCATTTCCAAATGGTGAAAGAAAGTGGTGGAAACTCCAAGCAACCCCCAACATCTGTCTAATTTTGCAATTCAGATGCCACTCTGACCCAGCGATGGTGTCAGCAGCTACTCTCCCGTCCCTTGCATGGGCAGCCTTGTGCCAAGACATTGGTACCTGATGAAGCAATTGCTCCAGATGTCATGGATGCAAAAAAGGGGAGCCTGTCCTGTCCCCATCTCTTCACAGGTGCTGGTGGCACCTGGGCCAAGATGCAGACCTTTGAGGAGTGGCAGAGTCACCAGCCCCAGGGGCAGCAGACACTCCTGGCTGGGGATGTTCTGCGAGGCTGTAGCTGCCCACCCCCGGGGAGTCTGTGGTCTGAGGGTTACCAGGGAAGCTGGCGGGGGCAGGGGACAGGAAAGAGAGCAGAGAGGACCTAGGGCACCATCTGGTGGCTTCACTCACTGCCTTCCCTAAATCCCTGTCTCACGGGGTCATCATATGGCATGGCCAAGGGCTGAAAGAACACCAAGTCTTCCCAAGAGACAGCCCAGCTGGAACTAGAGACCCCTGCCCCTGGCCCAGACTCGCACACCTGTAGGCACTGCTGGGTAGGACAGCAGTGCAAACCAGAGTCATGGTTACCATTTTTCTTGGGTGCTGTTCAGTCAAGCCCTTCCCTTGATAAAGAACCAGCCCTAGCTGGGTATTTAGAGATGATTTGCAGTAGAGACCCCTGAGAAGGCTAAAGGAAAGAAGACAGAAGTGATGAAGGAGAACACTTTGGATACGTTTCACTGGCATTATCCACCACAGTAAGGTCTTGTCTGCAGATAAAGGCAAAATATAGTTTGCACTGTTTCGTATGACAAACCAGTACCCATGCAAGAGCTTGTCCTCTGCAGAAAAAGATCAAATCAACAAACCTTCAAGTGCACCCTGGTTTCTGCCTTCTTAAATAAGGATTTGCTGTAAAGCATTATGAAGGAGTCCATTTAAAGGGAATAGATGACTTCAGTGTCACCAACACTCTTTGTAGCAATGCACTCTCAGGACCAAAGGCTCATGTCTGGTGATGAGGGCAAAGGATCCTAGTCCTAACACAGCACCTCCTTTAGAAGAAGGCAGGCAGTGCATTTCCACCTCACACCACTGCTTACTTTGATAACAGGCCTCCACTTCCCTGAAATCCTGTCAATAGAAATGGATAATTCAATACCTGGGAATCAAATGTTATACCACTACCAGGGAGCCTGCTCTGTGCATAACAGCACCATGCTAGGGGAAGCAAGTGAAGCTGAGGCCCTTAGAGACACAGTTTTTAACAGGAATCCCTTCTCAGCATTCAGTTTAAAGCAAAATGTATAGGGTGAACACAATAAGCCAGTCACTGCTTCTCACATTTGTGGAGCTGGGGAAACTGAGCCATAATTTCCTTTATTTTTTTTTTCCCAATTGCCTAACACTTAGAAATGAATACATTTCCTCTTGCTAGTAGCACTCATTTTTTGCACCTATCCTCATGGGCCACAGAGCCAGGTAAGACAAAAAGACCAAATGACAACAAAAAGATCAAGTGACTGCCTTTTCCCTGAACAAATCTCTGCTACAAAGTAGTTATACCAATATTATATAAATCATATTTCATAGTCTCTCCTACCTGTGCCTTCAGGCATTTCCTCATACCACCTTGGAAAACTCCATACCATTTAAAAACATCCCTGCTCTCACAGACTTCTGCTTTATGCTTTTCTCTCTGACACAAGCTGTTGGTGCTGTGGCTGCCCATGGTGCATAATACTAAAGAAGTGATTTTAGATTGTGGCTTCATAACTTTTAACTTCCTTTTTCTCATGCAGCAGCCTTTTAGCCTTCCTCACAGGGCCAACCCAAAAGCCATTGAAATCAACACAGCGACCCCCACCCTGATTTTGACAAAGTTTGACACACAGCCCAAATCCTCACATTTGCCAGTGTTTCTTAGGAATTTTTAATTTTTCACTTAATTGATCAGAACCTGGTATGATTCTTCCAGTACTGTAGCACTCACTGTTCTAGAATAGCATTTTCCATTCCAAATACTGCTCTTTCTCTTATGTTTTATTTTAAACAGCTTCAGCTTTTTAATATAGAATTGTTCAGGCATAAATGTAAGAAACATGCTACTTTAAAAGGTAACAGAAACACAAGACAAATCAACTCACTGCAAAGAGAGATCCTTGCCAGGAAATTTCCAGTAGCATCCAGTATTTTTAACATTTATAAAATTTAAAAAACAAAACACAAAACCTAGCCATCATTATTTTGAAAGTTTTTACTTTTCATCTAATCCACCAGCATCTGCTGAATATTTTATTGCCATACTGCAACATATTTATAATTCATCTCATCATTTCTTCAAATTTGTTAAGGAAAGGAATTGTTATACCTGTACAATCCTCTGTAAATTCTTCTGCAAACACAAATATTTCCTGGTCATATTAGTAAAATGTAAAACGTTTTACTTCAAAAATATTTATAATTGTTGTGATCACTTAACAAATTATAAATGGATCTAATAAGACATGCTGTCCATTCGTTGCCTTTTCTGAAATGAATTCCTCAGCGCTGGGAAGAGAAAAAACATTTTTCTGTGGTTAAAGAAAGTCCAAATTGCATGTTTGAAATCTTTTCTAATAAAAAGAGCAAAGCAATAAGCGGATTATCTCTTTAAACATGGTATAGGAAGGTTGGAGGCCCCGGAGATATTTTCCACAGCCTCTATCTCTGATACATAGCAACATTATCTTCAGCTAGAGAGGGTCCTATGACCCTGGAGCTCAATTTTAATTTGATCTTCTTCTTTAAAGAGGTTTCTACAATTCCTCTCAAGTTATGCTGCATACTCTTATTTTGGGTTGGTTTTGTTTGGTTGTTATTTCGTTGTTGTTTTTTAATATGAGATAAAACAGCCTCAGCTTTTTAATCTGCTGGTTTGATCATGTTATACAGCTATTTAATGTAACTCCTTCCCTATCAGAACCAGAATATGCATCAACACAAACGGTAGGCAAGTTCCAGCTGACAGGGGAGAAAGAACTTGGACAGCAAATTCACTTCTAAGCCCTCCTCCTTCTTCCAGTCGTTCTAAGTTTCAGAACTGATCTCCCTGGCCAATAATGTATGGTGGAGGGGTAAAGGAGCTTTACACTCTCTACAACAGCCAGCTGAAACAAAGGCCAACCGATTGGTTTTGGTGGGGCAGAGGTACCATGCCTGCTCCCACAGAGGCTCAAAAACCCAAGAGATAACAATGCCCACTGCCAAGAAGAAAAGGAAACTGGGGAGTTCCCCTAGGACTTCTGCAGGCTGGAGCCTGGCCCCAGACCCGTCTGGCTTATGCAGCCCCAGCAAGGGAGTTTCTTCACGTTCCCACCTCCTTGTTCCTCTTTCTTGTTCTGGAATGAGCACTGTCACTGAGACATGTTGTCAGGAAGGGATATTTCTCTGTGTTCCTTTTCTCCACCTTTATCTCCATCAGTGCATCCAGCCCTCGCTGCTGATATTGCTGAAGGGGAAGCATTTTCTTAGAGGCACTGATTTGAGTCGCCCCAGTAAGGTCGCAGCAGGCATCTGTGACTACTTGATGGGATTAGCAGATTATGAGAAAGCTGTTTGCTGTGGGGTTCCTGAGAAAGGGAAATGGGCAGGTGGATGCTTGGATCTGATTAAACTATGCATGAAGTCCTGATGGCTATTTCAGCAAAGCCACAAGCACAGGATCAGATGGGCGGCTGCAGGTCGGGATCGGAGCATCAAGCCAGCACGCAGGGAAATCTCCGGATTGTCCTACCACTTGCAGAGGATCAACAGTTAAGTATTTCAGCCGGGGCAGGTGAGAGAAACCTTCACAGATGGCCCATTCCCAAGATAAGTGCTTGACAAAAGCAGCTTTTCTTTTGCAGCAAACAGCTTTGCTGCAAAATAGCTTTGCTGCATCAATGCAGACCGAGCCCCGAGGGATTTCAACAGATACATTCTGTTGTTAATGAAGGGCAGTTTAGAAGGGGCAAGGGGTTCACAATTCCCTCGTGGTTGTGCTCTGAAGTCAGTGTGGATCTCTCCATGTATCTGCATCTCATCAGGGATGTAAGAGAGTAGTTCTGCTATACAGAGAGATGTCTTGTCCACATAGGGTCAGGTATCTTCCCTGTTAAATATTCTCATACAATGTATCAGAGGATTCTTCTAGAGTTTCTTGCTTCTTAGGTGTCTGCAGAATGATGAAAAGGAGAAAAAAGAAATGGAGGAAAATTATTCAAAAGATGATGAATTAATTCTTAATAAGCAGACACTGACATTTGTTCTGTTAGAAATGGCTATAAGTGATCGGCTGAAACAGAGGCCACTACAGTGAGAAATGCTGCTCCACCAGAGACGAACGTGACTAATCCAGCCCAAGGGATAAAGATGCCTCCTTTACTAGTCACTCTTCCCCAAAAAAACTGTCAGACAGGGAGGGGAGGGAAAATTGGACTCAGTAAGAAAATAAATCACTTTGGATTCTGTGAAGGAGGAATTCCCTGACCTCCTCAATCCTGTTTCTTCAACAGTTGAGTCTATTCCTCACGACCGTTCCTTGTGTAGACAAGGCGCTGACAGACTGATATTTTAAGTGCTGTGTGGCACAGGCCTGCGTAAGCAAGGTTACACAGCAAGCAGCTAAAACGCCACCGGCTGAACTAAGCCCTACCTACACTAGGCATTTTCTCTGTTGCCAGCACCAAAGGGAAACACTACAAAAGTGCTGAGTGAAGGCACTCCAAAGCATGCAGGATTAACCCCTTGCTATCCAAACTGGCCACCGGTCCAGAGTGACAGCATGCAAATGCTCTTTACAGAGGCTTTCTGCCCTGCTTCCCTTTGCAGATCCCCCTCAGTTGTGCAGCCTCTGGCAGCAAGGGTTGGGCTGGACCCTCTGAAGCAGAGTGAGCCACTGTTCAGCAATCGCAGCTCCCACTCACAGGCCAAACCCACTGACCCACAAGTCTCACTCTTAGGGAAAACACCCTCCTATGTTCTGGCAAAGACAGCTGGAGGACAAGTGTCTCAAGTGGTCACAGCCCAGGATAACTAAGAGAAGCTGACCAAAGTGCTTGCAACCATAGTGGATAGTGCAAACTCTCCCGTGCTGAGCTAATGGGATCCTGCCACTCACACTTCCCTTCCTCCAGAGCAGCACAAGAACTGAGGACACTTGGAGTTGTCTGCTCTCAATGTGAGAGTTCATCCCATCCCCTCTCTGCTTTCTCCTCTCTTTCTCCCATCTCTGCTTTGACCTCTACCCCACCCTGGCTGAGGCTGCCAGTGCCAGACCCACTCACACACAGATGCTCCTCTGCTGTTGCTTTGCTGCTGCTCTGTTTTACAGACCCTCTGTCCCTCCAAACAACGGCTGAATGGTGTGGGCCACACACAAGCAACTCAGCACAGCCTAGACAGCTCCCTGGTAGGGAGATACCCCACACATACTTCATCTTACCATCCAGACTGAATCATTTCAGAGGGAACAGCTGGTAAAGGTATACAGAAGAATAAACAGGATCAGAAACAGGGCCCCTATCCAAATAATTCAAAATGCAGCAAAACACAAATGCAGGGATGCTGTCTTTTCCAGTGCATCAGATAAGACAAGCCCATGTAGAACAACCCATCCATCCCCTCAATAACCAGGAGCCTGCCACTGCTTTTGCTACCACCACCATGGTGGTGTCACAGCATTAACTGCAGGAGGCCAGTGGCCATGGGACCAGACCACACAGTAAGTAGCTCTGACACAAAGGGGGCTGCTTGATTTTAGACCACCTTTTCCTAAAAGGTGGGAGTTGGGAAAATGTCTTAGACACATGTCCTTAATGAAAGAGAGGGCTGGTACAACCAAGGCAACTCTCCCCAAAAGAACTTTAATGGGAGAGAGCAGCAGATGTTTTCCAGGAACATTTTCTAGCACTGGAAGAGGATATATTTTTTTAAGCAGATAAGAGGTCTGGAGAAGAAAAGAAAAATTAGGTTCTGAGGACAGGAAGGAAATGCTCCCTGGGGTGCCTGATGCAAGTTTTGTCCATATGAAACAGCTGATGCCTGCCAAAGGCAGGGTAGAAGGCTGTGTGGGCCTCTGGTCTGCTTCATGTGGCCCCCACAACTGATTTACACCTGCATATTCCTAGTTGCCTCTATTTTCACTGGGAGTGAATTTAGCTCCTTGTCTCTCACTCATAATTCTCAGCCCAACAAGATCCAAGTCTAAAACATCCACACTGCCTTTTCCTGAGCACGAGGGCTGACAGCATAGACTGTGTAAGCCCAGCCTCTGCTCAAACCATCTTAGCTTCTGCTACCATGAAATGGCTCTCAGGTCCTTAATGCTGGCAAGAGGAAAGTTGTGTTCAGGGTCTGCTGCTGGTGCACAGATTCCTTCAGCCCAGAGGATGTCTCAGCTGCCTAAATAATCTGGAAAGGGCAATAACAGGACCAGCACCTGCCCAACTCTTCATGAATGCCTGTCTTGTTCAGAGGGAGCAGCAATACCAAACCCCTCGGTGCCTTTCAGCACACGTCACACAGAAAAGCATCTGCACAAAACCATGAGTGCCAGAACTGGTAGAGCTGCAGGAGCCAGGGTTCTGCTGGGAGAGGGAAGAGAGGCTACATGTGCAGCCCAGCTGGTGAGTGCATGTCACATCTCATTTTCCTCTTTTGGTGGGACTGCAGACACATTTACTGACTGCTAGGTCATGAGATTGTGTGGGGTTTCTTCCCCCAGATGCCCAGGGCATATGGGAACTTTCCAAGAACATGGCCCTGGCCCTTACCTTCCCTGGAGGATTCTTTCTGTGTGATGGGTTGTTTGTGTTGTTCTCGAGGCTAGAATAGACATCAACTTGCTGCACATCCAGGCTCTGCACAGAGAAGAGAAAAGAAACTAGGTGTCAAATAAAATACTTAGGTTTAAGATAACTAATTACCCACTGGGTTGCTCCCCATATCATGCCGGACATTTTTTAGGGACCCCTACCACCTCCAAAATTTTGAAGTACCCGACCTTAACTTGGGCAAACAGAAAATCCTTTTCCCCTGAAATCCCTACAGTGCAGCTGCATCATCTTCTTTTTTCCAGGCTTACAGAGACAGGCTTTGATGTTGCCTACCCTCTGTAATGCAGTGGAGAAGAATGCCAATGCCTCTGCCTCGCTCTGCTTCAAAATTGTCCCATAATGCAAAGTTGTGCACCGGGGGGACCACAGGTAAGAAGCAGTGCTCTGCACCACCCAAGACTGTTTAGGTGCCTGACAACCACAAGTTCTTGTTCATGTTTATTCTAGGGACACAAAAGTGACAAAATGGGAGAGGGTGGGGGTCCTGAAGCACAGAACCTGCAGAAAATTAATACAATTTCTGTTTATTGTCTGTTGTTTTGGTTTTTTTTTCCAAGCCAGAACTCTCCTTTCTTCTTTGAGTGAGCAAAGAATAATAAAAAATCCATATGCTCCCAGGCCCTCAAATATTACCATGGTCCCACTCAGCTACACAGAGAAACACACACACACGCCCCGCATGCATATGCACCCGTTGTCCCCCAGGTAATTGTGTCACAGGAGGTGCATGTCAGTTTGAGTGATATTCCAGATCTGCCTGAAGGATCAAACATAACAATCATGAGGACTTTTCCATGTGTGTTTCAAGGATGACAGCAGGTTGCCAAGGTGGCTGTTTCTCTGGCAACAGGAAGATGGGAGGAGCTCTGGCTGCAAGAGGGGCAGATGGTATTAGTGGAGAGAGCCAGGCACCCTGTAATGCAGTGAGAAGGATGAGTAAAACATGGAGGCTTCATTGGGGGCTGCCAATCACTTGAACCCTCATAATTTCATGCAGAGTTGCAAACACTCAGCATCTTTAAGGATTATGGCCAGCAGGACAGTGCTTTGAACAGGGCCAGAGCATACAGAAGCAGCACTGGGGAATGAGCCTCGGAATAAACAGGCACTTAAACATGAGCTGGCCACAGTGAATGGGGTACCACATGGCTCTCACATTCCCACTGCTACTCTGGAAACAGTAAAATTATTTCACCTGTCTGCTTCCTGCTCCCCAAAACCTGCTTTGCCTACTCAGACATCCCCACCATTTGCACATGCACATGTGCACACAGAAAATTCTATTTCCCCACACTCGTTTTCAATTCTCTTTGTGATGCTCACAGTGAGGACCTCGTCTTGTGTGCTGAGCTTCCAGAAGCCTGGCTCCATGTCCCCTTGCAGGACAGGCAGCCTCTTTCTCTACTCCAGTCTGAAGCTACTTGCAAGCAAGGTGTCTAACTACCAGAAACGATTCCCTTCCCTCCACATGCCTTCTTCCCATGCAGGCTGTTACAATGCTGGTCCTTTTCAGGTCAGTTGGAGAGCTGGTGTCTCCAACCACCATTTGCAAGTTAATTACTTTTACTTGATCACTGATCACCTGCTACTGTCACAGTGAAGGCACACAGGCCTCTCTCCTCCCTGCTGACAGATGCCTTCCTATCCCTGAACAGCCTCCGGTCTCCCTCACACCTGGAAAAGCTCCTGTGCTCTGGAACCTGACTGCACCTGCACTGCAGGAGTTCTGTTTGCTGCTCAAAAAAGCTTGTTTGAAGTGTAAAGCAGATGAAGCAAGTACCTCAGATTGTTATTTCCAAGCTGCTCATTAACTGAGCAGCTAAGCTGGAAGTCAGAGGATATACAGGTCTGGTTCTGGCCAGTGCAGTGAGGTAGAGCTACTCTACAGCTGCAGGAGGACAGAGAGGTCAAGGAAGGCACTATAGAGAGAACAAACGGGGTTCCCAGCTGCCCCCTTATTACCAGGCTTTTTCTACCTTGTATGCTTTTCACTGCATACAGCCACCCCCAAGGACCACAAAATACATAGTGGCACCTAGAAGAGCCACTGGGGAAGGTATTTTCTCCCAGGAATGTTCAGCAGGACAGCTTTGCAGAAGGTGTATTAGGACCCTTCCCACACCAGGGATGATCCTTGCTGCCATGTAGGATAACACAGAGCATTTAATGAGCTATGCCATGTAGTTTCAATAGGATCTGTTACTTTGATGTCCAGTGCTGGCTCCTCTTGCTTCTGCTCCCAGCTTCAGGGAGGGAGGACATTGTGCTTCCCTGGCCTTACCTTCCTCCAAACGCCAACCTCTTGCTTTCCCACACAGACAACATAGCTAGCATGTGCTGGTCTCCTGTCCAGCCCCTGATCTCTGACCTCCTTCTTTATCTCATCACTCAGAGCTACTTCTCACTTGTCCTTCCTTTTTTTCCTTGCCTTAGATTACCCCAACGCTGATCACAGATTTTTCCCTTCCCCATGAATTAAGTATTGAGGTCAACATCCACCAATAGATTTTCACAACTCACCTAGTTTCAAACACAGTTTGCAGGGCTGAGTTTACACCACGCAGAGCCCCAGTAAAATTTAGCCGTGGAGCACCAGAGTTATCATTCAAAGGAAATAAGATTTGTCAACTTTCTATTCCCTTCATCTGTCCTGAGGGCCCATCCAATGCAGGTTTCCATCCCAGGGCTCTCACCCTCCCTCCCTCCCTGCCCATTATGCCATGCAGGGTCGTGCTTGCTGCTCTCCACATCACAGCCCTGCTCTCAGCCTGTGCCTTGTCTGGAGCAGGAGTTGCTGCTTCAAGCCCCCCTACTGCAGCAGTTGCTCCACAGCAGGGAACTCCCGTGGGCAGACTCGTACCCCCAGCATGCAGGAGGTGGTCCCAGGCTGCTTGCAGCCCTGCCAAAGAGGGCCAAGCCACCTGCCCTGCACACTGGGCTGGCAGGAGCCCTGAACAGCTGGTGTGTGGTTAACAGGCTTCACAGGAAGGCTGCTTGGGCCAGGTCCATAGGGCTCCTGCAAGCACAGGGGCTCAGCCAGCTCCTGGGATTGCCTGTGCCTAAGGCTGGCTCTGCTGGCTTGCTATATTAGCCTTAGTGGAGCCTGAACAGAATAACATGATGAAACATGTAATTAAGATGGAGCTAAGGATGCATGACGAGGCCGACTGAGCGAGAAATGGATTTGATTTTTTTTTTGTCTCCTTGCAGAAATCATCCACTTCAGCAGGAAACTACCCATTTGGATTTTTATAAGCCTGAATTAAAAAGAAATTACTTGATACAAATGAAAAGGTTTAAAACCTGCAACCTCCTTTACCCAAAGCATTGCCTTTTGCCCAGAATAAACACATGACATACAATATATAGTGCTCTCTTTTAAACTGCTACTCCAAAAATTAAAGGGCCACAAAATAGTGCCCCCCCTCCCCCCACAGAGTGAGAATGAGAAGGGGCAGGCCCATCCTCTTGAAGGTATCTGCCCCTGATCAGGTCTCCTGCCTCCCTGGCAGATCTTTGCTCCTCTCTATAGTACATTCTCCAGAGCTTCGCTTTGTTTAGTTTAAATGATTAATGCAGCAGAACTCACAGGTTTTCCTTGAGAGACTTTTCCAGCCCTTATAGACCTCACAGACAGAAAGGTTTCCTAATATGCAGGCAACATCCTTCTCTACTCACTTTCATTTTATTCCTCCTTGTTGGTCCCACAGTTCACAAGAAAAAAAAACAACAAACCCTTTCCTTCTTAGTGGAGCAGCCATCCCATGGGAGTAAAAGGAGAAAAAGGAATCCATATAAAATGGAGCTGGATAGGTTGTAAATGGGATTAGGAGTCATGGTTACTTGAGGTAGCCGAGGTCTAGACTGACATTTCAGGGGAACCACTTCAATCCCACTACCTATGACACTGCGGCTACTGGGCTCAAGGAGTGGGAACAGTTTGGGAAATGGAAAAGGAGATCCTATACAATGAAAAGGGAAATGCTTTAAAAAAAGCCTCCCTTGACATTCTCCTTGCCCATTTCCCCCTGCTAGCTAGTTGTTCTGCTCAGGACTGCAGCGGTCTGTGACACTGACACCAGTGAAGGTGCCACAGCAGAGACCCAAAACAGCTGGGGGCTGGTCAGGGTATCATGTCTCTGCCCCTTTCCTGAGGCATCATTCTCCAGCTAGGAAGGCCATGCCCTCGTGAAACTGCAGTACAAAGCGGGGCTGAGAGTCCCTCTTCCTTCCTGACTTTTGGAGATTCTTCTACCTCTTCCACCAGGAACCCTTCCTGGCCCCACACTTGCTGCTCTGTGCTGCTGGCAGAGGGAAAGGTGCTGCTCAGCAGGGCATGGGGCAAGGTTTGGGCACTGGGGAGGCCATGACCAGGATTAGGGTGGAGACACACCCAGTCCTGAGAGAAGCTAAGCAGGGCAAGGTCACCAAGAGCAGGCAGGTATGGAGGTATTGCTTCTGTTTCACATCATGACACCGGCATTGTCTGTAGCATGGCAGGGAAAGGAAGGGTTGTACCATGCTGTGGACAGAGGAGATGAAGGCTGATTCTGGTACTCACATCATAGACAGGAGGTGGTAGTGGTGGTGGGCTGGCTGAAGGGAGCTGAGTTTCTACCTTCTGTCTCAGGATATTTGGCTGGTTCCTTCTAGGGCACAACACCTGCTCAGGACAAGACACCAAATGACACATTTGGAGAAAACCACATGTCCCCAAAGCTAAAATGAATACCAATGCAATATCAAAGCCAGCTGTTTGCACACCTCCTGAATGTTCCACAAGGAAGAGTGTTGGCAGTGTCTGTACATGTGCTGGTTACTTTCCTCACTGCATGGTTAAGTGTAGAATCCAGTGACTTACACTGGAGCAGTGGAAAGGAGAACTGGCTCTGTGTGTACATATAAAGCACTTTCACCACCAAAACCTTACTGGCTGAAGGGTGTAAGTATTGAGCAGCACGAAACAATGCTATAGGACAGGGAGTAAAGCAGGGCACTGGTCATAGTGCAGAAAAGAATTTCAGAGAGGCAAAATGCAATTACTTTTATCAGGATTTGGCAAGGAAGCTTTTCCTAATACAAAGAGTCTACAGAAGAGCACTAGATAATCATTAATGGTGACATCTAGTCAGTGATACATGGATGTACAAGTCCAGCATGGAGTTGAAGGAAGAAGGACCCTTAGTCTGAATGTTTCTTGCATTAGATGAGTTCTCCTTGAACACATTCTATGCACACACAGAGAAGGGTTAGCTCTGCTCAGCAAGCAAGAGAAGAGGCAGAAAAGGCAGAAGGCTTTGCTAAGTATCTCTGTTCTAATTCAGAAAGAAGTGGGATGATTATATTCACATCACATGAAAACGACAAACTGCTTTCCAGTCCATTAGTAACTAAGGAGGATGCTAAATAGCTTCTCTTAAAGATAAACATTTTTAAACCAGCAGGTCTGAGCAAGCTGTGGTGAGAAATATGGGCTGTGTTCTGCAGGAGGGCAAATGTAATGACTGCACAATCTCTTCAGACCCCAAGGAGAGGCCATAAGTCTGAGATTCACTGGCCCACCTCAAAACCCAGAGATGCCAATTGGTGAGTAGTGACAGTGCCTCCCCTCCTCATCCCCACAGAGACACTCTCTGGGCAAACAGAGATGGGGGCCCATCTCCAGCTGACTCCCTTTGCCTCTTACACTCTTCCCCCACGTCAGACTGCCTGCAAGGTAAGTCTCACGAGATTAGCTGGGCTGCCAACTGCTGCCATTCTGTTTTCAGCCTGGTGATCTCTGACTGTGTGTGCTGAAACCTGATGCTCCTTTGAGTCCAAGGACTGTACACACAGCACAGCTTCCACATAAAAGAGCATGTAGAGTCTGCTGTTGCGGTGGCAGAGAGCAGCTTCAAGGAGTTATGGGGCACACTCTACCTAGAAACCAACAATCCCATGTTCCATTCTAGAGGATGTAAGGGTATTTTTAGGCCAGCCTTGAGATTTCTGGAAGAATCCAGGTGATGCTGTTGGAACACCTGAGGGTGGCAGTACTAGAAGCAGTAGGTTTTCCACAAACAACAGGGATTCCAATATCATGACTCCAGATGGTTTTTCCACAGGGTCCATCTCATGCAGATCTTCTAGCTCTGCTTTTGGCTTTTCTTCTCCCACTCTTCAAATCCTTTCTTCCCCACTCCTGGTATCTCCCTTTTGCTCTCAGCTTCCCAGATTCCACTTCCTTGGAATCTGGTCCCAACCTGGGACACTAGTCTGGTCACCCAAGAGGTTCTGTCAATCCAGTCTTAAGACCCTCCTAGTGCTTCCTCACTCCAGATTCCAGTCCCAGTTTCCCCCCTGAGGCTCATTATTCCAGCCTCACAGAATCACTGCTAATGGAAGGTGTCCCTGGAGATTGTATAGTCTGATCCTTGTCCCTTTATCTTTTTTTTTTTTCCCCCACAGTTATTTGTAATTTTCACACAAGCTTCCTCGGGATCCTTGCCCTGATGCTTCCCTTCTCACTCTATCTCTTAGTGTTTTCTTTGCCAAACAGATGCCCAAGGCTTTGGTCCCCATCCCCATCACACTGCAGAGTTTTTTTGCTATGGTGCCCGAGCTCAGGAATGCAGCTGCAGTCTCCTTGAAAGAGTAACCTCCATCTTGAAAGAGGATTAGAAATAGGGAAAGTCCTGCCATAAGGGTTGTAACAGATTTGCTCGGGTGCACAGGACATTACTTGTCTAACTGGCCTCTTCACAGAGGTTTTAGGCAACTGAACTGGTAAACTGACAAAAGCCATGACTGAGTATGCACAAACTGCAATCTTCCAAAATCCCATCACAAGGCTACATCTCCTTGAATATTCTCACAGCCAGTACACTGCTAGTGTGCCTTCTTGCCCTGTGTCAAATCCTTGCTCTAAAGCAGAGCATGCTGTAGTCAAAATGATTGCCAGAATTTCTTTAATGGGCAAATCACTTACTTATTTTGTCTTTCCTGTAATCTTTTCTTCTCAGAAAAACTTAAAAAAATAAACTGGATCAGACACTCAGCATGGAAAATTTTAGCATAGGGACTTCCAATTCAGCCAAGTTAGAAAAAAATGGAATTAATTCCTAGAGTGCATCAGGTATTGCTTTGTATTTAGTTATTACTTGCCTTTCTTTTCCACAGAAGCAGAGCTGTTGCAGTGATGCTCAATACAGCCAGAAGAACAGTAAGCGTAATGAGGATTTCCCAGCTGTAAAAGATATTTATGTATCCTGTATCTGTAAGAAAGAAGGTAAAAGGTTCACAGTGAGAGTGGAACCCTGCTGTATTTTTAACCCTGGAAAGAGCCTTGAGAAAACTAAAATGCAGGAGTGCAGAATATAGTGGCAGAAATGCACACACCCTTCAAAACATACTCTGACTGAACAGAGAGCAGGGTGCAGCTGCAGAATCACATAGAAGATGCAGGGTATAAGCAGCTCTACTTCACAGAGGGAGGTGATATGAGACAAGAAATTTGGTAGATAGAGGTTGGCAAAGGTCTTTTTGTGATAGGAGCAGAAAGACAGATGGTGGAATGCACACAGGCCACATGAACTGGGAGGATGGGTACTGCAGGTATCCTCTGACCAGTATAGCAAAGCTACTTCATCACAGCTCTTTGCATTTACATTAACAAGTTCTTCATATCCAACAGTCATTAATGCACATCCAGCCAGTCAGCAGCATGCACTTCCTTATCACTTTTCTTAACATTCCTCTTATGTTGCATCAAGCTTTCCACTGCTTTCCAGCGTGCTCATTAAGTGACCAACCAACTCCCTGTACCAAATGGAAAAGAGGGAGGCATGTTGGTGAGGCCATAACCTGTTCATGAGTCCCTAAAACTGAGCATGCTGAATGTGGTAACAGCAAGCACCCTAATGAGTGACCTTATCAGCTGCCTCTGTCACACTGCTGAAGAACAAACCACACTGTCTTCTGAACACTGACACCTAAAAGCACTGTCTGATCCAGTGCTCAGGGTCCCTAGATAGATCCTGATTCCCATCTGGCAGGGCAGGTATAAATTACTGTCTCTTCATGTCCCTATCTATGCATTGGGAACAGCAGAACACCTGCACTAAGTGCATTTCAACTCTGATGGCAATTAGTATTGGGCATAAAGCATTATTCATACCTGACTTCATAGCATGTGTGGATAGTGAAAAAGAAGAGCAAAGATCAGGTTTCCATAGCCAGATACAGCTGATTTTTAACCTCCTGCCCTTACTTTCTGGTTTTTCACTTACCTCTAATAAGGAAAAACACTCCCTTTCCTATTTTTTGGATACCATTCCATTTGACCTCGCAGTAGTACGTGCCAGTAGAGGAGGTGTTTTCAAGTGGCATGATTCTGTGGTCATAAGATAAGGCAGCAGTCTTATTCTCTTCTCCAGAAGGAATGGCTACATTTTCCACCCTACTATAGATATATGTCTTCTGATCCAGTGAATTAATCCAGTAATAGGTGATTGAAAATTTGGTGTATTTCGGCATGTAAGGGAAGATGACTTTACAGGGGATGGATATTTCTTCCTTGAGCAAGGCAACCTGGATTGGAGGTTTCTGCTGTACATCGACATTTCCTCCTGTAAGAGTAATAATTGGTAGCAGTCACCTAATCTCACTTTTAGTGAGGAGAGGATGGCTGTCCCAAAGACAGGATCACTCTGAAAATAACCATACACCAGGAAGCACACCAATAGCAGGCAGTGTTGGCCCTTGTCAGAAGCTGAGTGATTCAGAGCATGTGCCCTGTGTGATCTGTCACATCTCTTGGGTAATTGCTGTGTGATCCATGATAGCCTCCTGCATTCACAGGCTTCCCCTTTTCTCTTGTGAGCTCCTCCATACAACAGCAGTACGCAGAAAGACAGGAAATTAAGCAGGAAGTGAACTGATTTTGCAGTGGTGTTTGAACGTATTTACAGCAGGTGAATAGAAAGCAATTTTCCAAGATAAACGCTAGCTGGACGTGTCCTGATGTATAAACCACGCTCGGGAATCTACGTGAGGCTGTGTGATGGCTCTGTGGCAGAGAAGGTGTTGTACGCAAGCAGGTGTTATCAGTGGGGCTGTGTATTTCTGAATAGCAAGTGAGGAAGGAGATTGCATGTTCTGTATGGGAGCCAGCACCAGCACCAGGAGAAATAAGCCACAGCTTAATCACTCCAAACCTTTGCTGCTCTAAAACGGGAGCAAAGCACAAGCCTCAGTGTTAGCTATGGAACTATCTGCAGATGACTGCAGATCTTAAGTATTTATATGTGACAGTATCTTAGGCAGAGATGAGAGCATGCCCTTCTCATGCTTCCTCCTAATACACACAAGGCAGTTTAAAGTGATCTATCACTGCAACTCAGTAGACAATGATGTCAGAAGTTAAAAGAAAGGACGAATAAGATGGGGAACCACACCACAGTTCACTCCCTGTTTTATTTAATGAAAAGAAAAATAACCTAAGAGTGAGCCACTGGCTAGTAAGGAGACTGGGGTACAGGACTTCTTTGGTTCCCAGCCAAATCTGGATTCAGTATCAAGCAGTCTCTGGATCTATTTATTTGTCAACTGATATAAAACCACATATAAGGCAACTTAAGAGGAGGCTCTTTGAGAAAGGAAACTGGAAACTTACAAGTCTTCTCACAAAATGAAGGATTCTTTCAGAGACATGAAATGAGAAGAGGGAAAAAAGGGTAGAGAGAGAAAGTAGGGGATGGGCCGGCTTTTCCATTTATGCTTTTGATGGGATTCCCTGGAGTTCTGCATCTATGAGCAGGCTCATAACAAGGTATTAAAGCTGTCCCAGAGCACAGCCAGGCTTGCTTTTCTGTCACCATGGACTAACGCTGCATCACAACAGCAGTGTCACCTCAGCACAGCAGGAGCTGGCATTGGAAAAGGCAACTCAGACTTAGCACTGCTGAATGCTGAGCACTGAGGATTCGTGGTGGGGGACAACAATGGAGAGAGGGCACAGCTACTGCCCCGAAAGGACTGCTGGGAAGTACCATATGTTAAGGAAAATTCTCTACACATCACATAGCCAGGGACAACAGCCTGACAGTAAGGAAGAGCTTAGGTTACAACACCAGAGAAAGGTTCTTGGCTGTAAAAGCAACTGAAATACAGTACAGTCCTCAGGGACATGCTCAGTCCTGTGTACACTAGTTACAATAATATTATGGAAAGGTGGTAACAAAATCCTGCAGACACTGGGAGTGATAACCCAAGTAGCTTATTCTGGGCCATATTTTTCAAAATGATTCATCATCCTTCTCCTCTTCTCTATACAGCAGAACACACATGAATACTGTTTCTACATAAGACACAGCTAAGCACTACTGTAACAAAAGAGAGGAGAGATCCATCTTCTCATATTATCCCAGAAGCCACTAGGTTGAAAAGAACATACCAAGGAAAAAGCCAAACCATTTTATTTAGGTTATCTAACCCTTCTCCCATGTTCCCTCGTTCTTGAGGATCCACTCTCTTAGCTTTGAAATGCTTAAAAGACAGAAATAGCAGCAGCGTGCAAATTCCTAGAGGGGATCTCTGGAAATTAGCAAAAGATAGCAGCTGGAACTGCTCTAATACAAAAAACATGAGAGTAAACAAAAGGAATTAAAAAGAAAATATTTGTTTACCTCCACACTGAAGCAACCAAAGTAACAGGAAGATGTCTTTTAGATTTGGGATCATGACAGGGAGGTCAAAGGCTGTAAGCATGCACCCAGACACAAAGATCCAAAAGGCAAAGGAGGTTTGTCAGGTATTTTCATGCCAGGGCAGCTGGTCGATCCCCTCCTGTTTGCAAAGGGACAGGCGAGATGTACACACACTGCATTTGGCAAGCAGTTCCTGGCAGATGCAAGCTCTTCTGCTTTTTGGTCAGACTCCACCCTACACCAGGGCTGACTTCTCTGTACTACAACGATGGTGTTAGACCTACTAGTGGGTGTCCAAAGACTAGACCACAAGCACTTTAACACACAGAGCTTTGCTTCCTGATGGCTGTAAAATATCGCTTGCATTTACAACAAACTTTGTCACCTTCCACAAAGTGGGGGATCACCTGTTCTGCCTTCAACACAGAAAACCAGTAGATCACAAGTAGTCAGTACAAAGCAAAGGCTCTACTGTACCCCTGACTCCATAAAATGGCCCTCCACAGCCAACTTCTCCACTAGGTCCCTCCAGAGGAAGGCACTCACATTCTCACATCAACCAGACGGCGAATTCTGGTCCCGAACAGCTGGACCATTTCAGATCCACACCATGCTGGCTCTGAACCAGCTTCACAGTGCAGGCAAGCTTTAAGTAATCTATTGTAGGCAAATCTAAGGAGAGCCCTTTGAAGAAGAAAAACCACGTTTTGTGGGAGGCTCCTGCCGCCTATACTCAGGAAGAGTCTTTGATTTTCAATGAACGCCTGTTTTTAGCTAAGACATCTGCAATGCAACAGCTGAGCAGCATCTGACTCATAAAAACTCCTGTGGCTGAGAGGTCTTCACTTCTCTTTAGGCAGCTTCCTCCTTTCACACTTCTTGTGGACAATTGCAGTGTCCACAAGAAAGGACTTGCTGCAACTTCAAGGGTGCCCATTCACATGGGCTGTGCTGCAGAGACTGGTGCGGGATGGTCACATGGGGAAAGACCTAAGGCAGCAGATGAGCCTGTAGGCTTTGTGTATTCAAAAGCGCTATCGGTTGTTTTATGCCTCCAGACTTTGTAGGAACAAAGTTTACTCCAAAAATCCTTTGGTTTACAGCATTATTCCTCCTGTTCAGCCTGGGACAGGTCCCCTGGAGGAAGGGGTCTTGACACAGGGGGAGGCATGTGCTGCATGATGCCCAGGGACGGCTCCAGTATCTCTCTGAGAACCCTGACAGATGGGGAGAGGAGAAAGTGGCTTTGTGTGGCTGGTGCAGCAGCTGCACTCCTCCAGGGAAGGTTTAGCTCAGATTAGCCAAAACCAACTCCTCTCCCCAAGACATGCTGATGTGAGCTGCACGGGGCTGGTCTCAGCTGGAAATCACTCCTCACAGGTCTTAATGCTGAGCAGCAAGGACAATCAAAAGCAGTAACAAGACACTTGGGGCCCACTTGGTATTTCAGATATGGAGGCACAGATCAGGCAGCTGTGGCTCTGGGGTCACAACAGGCCTGAACAGCATCTCAAGGTAGTTGGGGCAGGGAGAGAGAAGGAAACAGAGGTTCACTACCTTCCTGTGGAAGAACTCCACTGAATAGTGAGGGCTTCCTCAGCTCTTATATCGTGCTCATCCCATGGTAGCACACAGCTTTGTAATTTCCAGTATTGATGTATTTCTAGAGGACAGAACATGCTGCTCCTGCCAGTGATGTGTTTTAACTGTTATCAGCATTTATCTGCTTCAGGAATTCAGGGTGATAAGTGGATTAAGTGAGGTAGGTTTGTAGGGCTGCTAGGTCAACATCATCCTTCTGTCCTTTCTGTTCTCTTCCTATAAACAATCCTGGTGCCACTCGAAATGCCAAGTCCTAGAAATATCCCTGTCTGGAATTTAAAAAAAAAAAAATCTAGCATTTCAAAAGAGATCACACATAAGACTCAGCTGTGGGATTAAAGGCACAGCCAGGCCAGAAATACATTCACTGCTGGGATTTGCTATGGTAGAGCTCACTGAAAAGAAATGGCTTTGAAACGACTACCCAGCAGCTATTAACTGCGAGACAGGATGACATTCTGTTCCTTAGAGCCTAAAGGGAGCCTGAATCTTTGAATGTTAAATTCTAATTCAATTTGGTCTGGGGATTCTGAACTGAGTTTTAACCCTGGAGACATAAATGGAAGGAAGATGAGGAAAAGCTGGGGAGTTGCTGTTACCAGCCAGTAGCAGGACTGAACTGATCGCCCCAAAACTTACGTGGCGCTAACCAAGATACCTGTGCCAAAGGAAATAAATTAAAAAGCTCCAAAGGAACAGGTCATGTATTATACAGTACATGGGTGCATGTGAGCCAGTCTCTACAGCACAATGAGGAGAGAACAGCCTGGCCAGCTGTAAACCCACCACAGCACTGACTGGCCAGGACCTGTACGGCTTGGTCCTTCCTTTGATGCAGCAAATGCTGACACTTCCTGAAATTAAATACTGGATTGGGGTAGATTCAAGCCAGTTTCTGCCTAGAGCTGAAAAGTGGATATTAATTTCACTGAAGCACTTTAAAAAGCCCACAATAGTAGCCAGCATTCCCAACCAAGAGGAAAAGCACATTGTTCCAGCACGCATGAACAACAAGTTTGGGCAAGTGCTGCACCTACCAGAAGTGCCTGTTCACAGCTGTGTCCAATGTACACCCACAAGTCAAGGCACACACACGAGCCCACACATGCCCCCACAGCCAACTCCAGGGAAAGCATTAATTCAAACAAAAAGGTTGCTGCTAGCCAAGGCAAAAAGCAATGCTGCAGAGACCACAACAAAGCCTCTTTATTGCTGAAGCGTTTAACACCACAACCATCCAAAAGAGAAACACCGCTTGGCACACAGAAAAGCTGCAGAAGCTCAGCAAGCCTGATTGCACAGAGCGCTTCAGAGCATTCCCCAGCACGGCAGCTCTGGGTTTGCTGCCTTGTCAGAGACCAGCTCAAACCCTCATCGCTGGAAAGCCAGCCAGTGGCAATATGTGCACCTCTGAGGATTCACAATCTCTTTGACTCATCTAACCCCAGACTCCAGGGCATAGAGTTTCCCTCTGTCTGGCAGCAGGAGCGATAGCGGAGCCAGCATGAGCAGGACCGTACCCCTGCCAGCATTTTTACCACTGTTGTGTGTCGAGTGCCTCTCAGCAGGGCTGGATGATGCTGAGGTAAAAGCTGCCAATGCCCTCACTACGTTTTAACCCACTGAAATGCTGTAGGGAATGATCAGTGACTTGATGGGAAAACAGAAAATTAGAGGTGTTGACACCACCATGGGGAAGGGAGGGGACAGTTCTCTAACCAGCAAAACAAGTCTGCCTTAGAAATCACCCACTCCTGCTTTTCCTCTGCTCACCTGCTGGAAGGATTCCCAGGAACTAAGTTACCACCACAGGCCTGACGAACACTCGGGGCCGTGCCTCAGCCTCGCGGCGAATCCCACCCGTTCTCCTTCACTGGCTCTTTGTGTGGCCAGCGGGAATTCCCAGCCTGGTGGGAGAGCTGTGCCTACTCAGGGTGACACCTTCTAGAAGAACATCTACCTGGCCGGGCCTGGGGCTGACGCGAGGCCAGGGCGGAACGGGCCATGTTAGGTCCGCCTGATCCAGGGGGTTAAATCTTGCCGGGGGACAGCCCCCCCGGCCCCTGCGGGAGGCCGAGCCGCGCACACGGAGGCCGGTGCGGCCGTGCCGCGGTGGCGGGGCGGGCAGGGGCGGGCGGTGGCCGCTCCCGCCGACCCGCGCCCTCGCCCACAAGATGGCGCCGCCGCCCCGGCCGCCCCCTCCCTCCTTCCTGCGCCCGCCCACCCACCACGGGCCCAGGGCACCGGGGGACCGGAGGAGTTGCAACCCTAGAGAAAACGAGCACAACTAGGATCCATTTAAGGCAAAATTAATGCTAATTAACCGTAATCAACAGCTCGAGGAACAACTTTTACTCGGCAAGCTGTAGATACTGCAGTTGCAGTTCGCCCGTCAGGCAGGAGCAGCAGAAGACGGGTGTGGAAAAGGAAAATGAACAGCTGTGCCGCGGGTGTATCCCGTCCCCGCTGTGTCCTGCTCTCGTCGCCGCTCTCTGCGCCACAAGTCACTGTCCCCGCCCGCAGCAGCCCAGCCCAGTCATCCCCCACACGCCTCTTGCCCCACCGCCGGACCTTCCCCTCGCAGCCCTCTCTGGCAGCGGCAGCCGAGCCACTTCTGCTGAGCCCTTCTGGGGGGCAGCAGCCCCAGCCGGGGGGCAAAGCACAGGGAGCTGCCGGCAGCATTGCCTCCAGCCCTGGCACCGCCTCCGCACTCACAGCCGTCCCTTCTATTCCCAGGGTGCTCTGGAAACTCCTGCCTGGGCTAGTGAGGAACACAGTTTTACTATGAATGACAGTTCTCAGCTTGCAGAGGCCTCTTGGCACCACGCGTGGATGCTTCCCACCACAAGCAAAGCCCAAGTACCTATTTCATCCCAGTGACCAGTGATGCTGCACTTGTCAAGGTGCTGGTAATGGTGTTCAGCTTGCTGTGTCTGTCTCAGCAGGGGCAGGCTCAAAGGAGTGTCCCCACAAACAGCCACAGACTCACACACCTCGACAGCCCCCATGAGAGCATGAGTACAGGAGTAGCAGGCACACAGCCCTCCCACGGTCACAGGATGTGTCACCAGCCCTTCAATGCCACAACCAGGCCAGCCCAAACTTTCTCCTATTAGCAGCAAAAATGCTGGGGTGGGATGCTGGGAAGAGCAGGGCACGCTGCCAGCAGTGCTCTCCTAAAACAGGAGCTCCTGAGCCCCGGCTCACCAGCTGCATGCCTTCAGGTGTGCACATCGGGCTCTGAAACTGCCCTGAGTGAAGGGCTGTGCATCCTCCCTGCTGGGGGTGAAGGGGGGCATGCAGGAAGGTTGGCAGGTGCTGGATATGCTGTGCAGGGCACACACAGGGAGGATCATGTTGGACAAGATGGCAGCAGTTGCAAGGGAGCCGCAGGACTGGCTCCTGCCAGCAATGGCCTCGCCAGATGGCCCTTCTGGTCTTGTCTGTGCAGGAAAACTCCTTGGGCTTCAGCCCTGCTTGGAGCCAGCCAGTTGTGCCAACCACAGCTCCCTGCA